AATACAGGAAAGAACCCGATTATGAGAGAGGCCACTTTCAAGCAGTGCAGTCTTATGGAGAGCATAAAACTGCATTTCTGGAATCAAAAATAAGTTTTGCGTAGAAGCCAACGGATATATACTAGGTTTCTTGTTAACTGAACATAGCATTATTATCCAGCTTACCGCCAAATTTAATTCACGATGTTGCAGTTTTTTTAAATTATCAAATTATAAGAAGGCTGGATATTAGAAGTACGGGCTCAAGATGAAAACACCGTGCGTTCACAAAACGACAGTTACATAGGGGCAATTTTAGTGGGAAATGAGGAACACTCATCAAGCTGTGAAAGACAACCAAACGTACTTACTGTAGACTCGTGCCTGACGCACGTGTGCAGCATGCATTCGAGGCGTGCAGCGAAACCTTGTATGACTGTCATATATCCCTCATCCGAGGTCGTCAAATGAAGTTCCTTCGCCTCACATTCAGTAATAACAATGCTATATAACAGTATCGGCAATAATAGTACCATCTGCAAAACCATCCAATTTGTAAAATCGGACTTGAGTCGGTCAAAAGCCACTGTGCGCAATTTCTCGAGAAATGATTGCAGTGCGCTTACTTCAGTGTATTGAAAGTAAAGAAAAGTAGCATAAAAGTAACAATAAGTACATATATATATATGTATTAGTACAAAAAAACATATGTAGTTGGGACATCATTTTGGATACAACTACCACTATAGTCTCGCAGATCCTTTGATCTTAGCCGAAACGCCTGGCAAAGCTGCATCTAGCTTGTTCAAACATCTTAGCAAAGTTACTAACATTGAAATCTCACTCCGATTATTTGCGTCCCTTGGCCGTTACTGAGATGCTTGTTTTATGCTCATATTTGTCTTTCTCGGCATCCCATCAGCTACTGTTGTATCTTATTTCTGATCCCCCAACAGAGGAAGATACAACAGGTACATTTCAACAGTGCATTACATCCTCATTGCAACTAATGATCAAGTTTCCACTATCGACCACAGGTATGAATAAATAAAACATCGACTGCAGAAAAATTCAAAACTCCTGCTATGCATCACTTTTTCTAAAGCTCTTTTTTGCTTCTGCAGGTTTGAAGAATTTGTTCACAGAAATTTAAGCTCGTATTCTTCCAAGTTCTGAAATTGTGGAATTTGCCTGATTTTGGAATTTAGGCCAAAGGTCGGATCAGAGAAAAAATTTTAAACTTGATTTCAGTTTTTTGACTTTGCACACAGGCAGGGCTTTCCCGCTAAATTTCAAATTTGCATCTTTGTTAAACTTGAATTATGAAATTTGCCCAACGTTAAGGAAGAGATGGACGCGTTAAACGCTGACTTGTAATTTGTTGCTTTCTACATTATTGAGAATTCTGTTTATAAAATATCATGGATTAGGACCTAAAGGGAAAAATTATTGCTTCATACACCATCCGTCAACTCCTTGGGATTTGATCACTTTAGTTTTTTATGTGTTTTTTGTATCTGTGCAATGCAGAAAACGTATAATGATGAGGGATTGTCTGTGTGTGTGTGTGTGTCTGTTTATCTATGTGTGCGCTGTGCA